TAACCACTATGCTACCAGAGATGTCTTCCAATCTCTCCCCACCCTCCCCACACCCCAGGTGGGCTTAGCTACTGTTTTGTTTCAGCCACAGCTCCCAGCCCTGCCTCACTGGGAGCTGCTCTGGACATAAATGTTTTAACTCCCATCCACCCCACATAGCTCAACCCAACAGACAGTTCTGGGCCCCCCAAATTTGGATCAGATCCCGGATGTACACCAGGTGCATATTAGGTTATTTTAATGTGTTTATCATTGGGCTATGATGAGTTCACACGGTGCCAAGGGGTTTAATAGATTTTAACAAATTGTATTCAGTGTAAATTCTTTCATCGCCCCTCCTCCATGGCACAGAAAATGCAAAGGTTTGTCTGTGTGGAACTTTCTGCCTTTTCTGAAGGCATGACTTCAGTAATATTCAAGTGGGGAAACCTGACACCGGTTCTGTTGTTGTCTTCCTACAGGTATGCATGCACCAGGATGAGCTCGGAATTGTCATGAAAACCAACCAGACGGGGAACGCTAACTTACCTAGTCATTGACCCTCTTCCTGTGGCAATTTCTCACTCCCCTCCGATTGGGGGGGGGGGCGGTTACTTCTGCTTTGCAGAAATTATCTGCAGAAAGCCACGCAGGCTTTATAACAATCTCTGGCAAAACCTCAGAAAGAGATATGCCTTTGTCTTGACGGATGTTAGAGTTTCAGCGCCTCCAGGAACCGTGAGTCGACCAGAGGGACAAGCTATTGAGGCTTACTTCTCCTGAGGACACAGTTAAAGAGGAAAAATAGGGGCTACGGCCTAAACCCAGTAGCCACTGCAACAGCAGAGGGGCTCTTGAAAGAACTGGACTTTCCACTCCAAACTGCTGGACATTGTGGGGGTGGACGAGGCTTTGGGTGGATGAAATTGAACACTTCAAACTCAGCGTCTTAGGAGAGGAGAGAACATGACCCAAGAAATAAATCTGAATTCCCTCAAGGAACTGGAGCGCGAGGTCATTCTCCAAGTTCTGTACCGGGACCGGGAGGTCCAGAATGTTGAGGAGGAGAGAATAAGGTATGTTATCACTCAGAAGGAAGGGTGTCCTTCTTGGGGTTTGACTTCTTTGCTAATTGGGAACTCCTGCTTGACTCCTTGGAGGTCTCTGGTTGGGAGACATTCTGAGTGGGTCTTGGGCAGACATTATCTTTACTTCCTATTTGAGAAAAATGAAGAAGGCAAGCTGCTTTTAGTCATTTAAAATGACGTCTTCAACAAAACAAAACAATTCAACAACAAAATGCATTTCAAGATTCAATATAATAATTAGTATGTGTTAGTCGTTTGTTGTTGATGTTGTTTTGTGCTACGGGGTTGATTCTGACCCAAAGTGACCCCATGTGAACAGCCTTATAGGGTTTCCTAGGTGGGAAGAACCCCAGTGAGATGGATTGGCCAAGGGGCAGCATTGATGGACTCAAGCGTGGCAACAGTAGTGAGGTTGGCTCAGGATCGGGCAGTGTTTCATTCTGCTGTGCATAAGGTCACTATGAGTCGGTACCGACTTGATGGCGCCTAACAACAACAACAATCCTAATACAAGCTGATGGACAGGTTTATTTTTCCTGCAGAGCAGTTGGATAGGTTCAAACCAACAACGTTTAGGTTCGCAGCCAAGCGTTTAACCATTGTGACACCAGTGCTCCTTTGTTAGTAACTTAGTTTCTTAAATTTTAGCCAAAAGAAAACCCTTCACCAGTGACAGGGAATTAATAGGAGAATTTTGTGTGTCTGTGTGTATGTCTGTGAGAGAGAGCGAGCCAAATAGTTTGCTTTTTTTCACATTCTTCACACATACATAAGATAATGCCTTTTGGTGACAGATTTACTACCTGTCTGTCTGTCTGTCTACTTTGCAGGAGTAGCTTAAGGGAAGCTTTTAGATTTTCAAGGAAAACTTCTGAGTGAAGTTACAGGATTTCCTGCCTGGGAAGACAGCAAACAGCTTAGAAACAGCAAAGGCAGCAGACTGCATGGCTCTTTTTTCTTGCTTGTGTTTGCTTCCCAGTGTTTCTAGAAAAGAGGGACATGAAGTAGGAACCTGTTCAGCCAGTTCCCTGGCCGATCTGCCAACAGGGACTCCTTCCTTGTCTGTCTGTCCCGGAGCTGCCAGCTCTCATTGTCAGTAACACTGTGTTGGCAGTGCCAGCCTGGATCCTTGTTTGTGGCCAAGACCCAGCTTCAAATATGTTGATGGTGTCCCTGCCCAGGTCCGCCAGAGGTGTGGGGCTGAGAAAGTACCTAAAGGAACAGGCCTTTTGTTTTTGCTTTATTTCTAATGGTAGAACTCATTTGCAGACTGCCAAAGAAACCCAGAAAATACAGAGGAAATAAAACTTTGGATAACCAGCAAAAGCTTGAGGAATGAGGGCAGTTAGCTGGAAGGTAGAATGTTCCCCTCACCTCCCTTGTTACTCCAAAGCCTTTCAAAGGCACACACACACACACACACACACACACACAGCGTCTTCCACTAGACCACAGAGCACATGAACAGAAGGGGACTCTGCTTGGTGACTAAGCATCTTTGGTGATTAGAGTCACCATTCTGAAGTCAGCAGAGGACTAGGGATAATGGTGAAGAGATTCTGTTCTGAAGGGTGCTGTCTGTAGCACCCACCCTGAAAATTGAGCTTTAAAGAACATTCCTGATGTCAGCATGTGACTAGGAGTCAGCCTCTCTCTTCTAAAAGCAGTTGTGGGCATTGTTGTTATTATTATTGGGAACCATAGAGCGAATCCCAACTCATGTAACAGATTAGAAGTGCCCCATAGGGTTTCCCAGGCTGTCATCTTAATAGAAGCAGCTCTCCTGGTCTGTCTTCTGTGGCGCAGTTGGGTGGGTTTGAACCACCAATCTTTCAGTTAACAGCTAAGAGCTTAAGGATCAGGCCACTGATGGTTACAGGGACATTTTATAAGAGTGTTTTGATTAGTGACGTCTTTTTGGGATCACTGCCGTACCCCTCTGCACCACAGCTATTATCGAAGAGAATCAGGATTGGAAGAGCACTGAACACCTTTACAAAGACAGTAGCAAACTAAGACCATCAGTTCAGTAATTTTTCTGGGTAACATGCCAACAGTAGCAATAGGTGACATGTTGGCAGACCTCTGTGCCTTGCATAATGAAGCGGATGTCCTTTATTTTGTTTTTCACTCTTGCTTACTGTTATAATCTGTTTTGGGCACAGAGTGATTAACGGGGAACAAAATGAACTACCAGCTCCTCTGTGCCTCAGTGTGATACGATTGAGTCTCAGCACAACCCACTTCACCTCTGAGCCCCAGCCCAGAGAGGTTGGGTGAGCTCCCTGAAGATGCACAGCGGTTGTTGGTTGGAATCCAGGGATGATGATGCCAAATCTCTTCCCATGAGTGATGCTATCAGCCTACAAGACCCTGTAGGAGTATATCTGGTGCCTGTCCTCCCACCCAATCCACATTATTGTTCAAACCTGTGCCCACAGGAAGCTGAAGACACATCTGCAGCACCTCCGTTGGAAAGGAGCCAAGAGCACAAGCCAAGAGCACAGGGAGCAGTCCTGTGCCCGGTGCCAGAGGGTGCTGGGGGTCCTGCTCAACCGGGGCGCCGTGTGCCGGGGCTGTAGCCACCGTGTGTGCGCCGAGTGCCGTGTGTTCCTGAGGAAGACCCGTGCCTGGAAGTGTACCGTGTGCTTTGAGGACAGGTGAGTGCTCCGAGGGTGATTTCCTCCCACACGGTGTCGTGTTTGCACAAAACCAGCTGCCACCAAATCAATTCTGACACCAGCTGTGCCAAACTAGAACTGTGGTCCACAGGGTTCTCAATGGCTGATTTTGGTAGGTGGCCAGGTCTTTCTTCCAAGGTTCCTCTGGGTGGACTTCAACCTAAAACCTTTTGGTTAGCCAGCTATGTTAAGAGTTTACACCACCCAGGGACTCCATATGATGTTTAACTTAACTAACCAGTTAGGAACCCTGGTGGCGCTGTAGAATAAACACTAGACCCATAAGGTTGGTGGTTCAAACCCATCAGTGGCTCCTTCGGAGAAATATGAGGCTGTCTGCTCCCATAAAGATTTATAGTCTTGGAAACCCTATACAGGGAACAGACAGCCTCATCTGAGTAACTGGTGGGTTCAAACTGCCAACCTTGGGGGTATGCAGCCCAGTGCTTAACCCACAGCACTACTAAGCCTCCCAAATTCACAGCAGAGTAGCTTTTCTCCCTTCTTCTAAGTTCCAAAGCAGAAGGATGGCTAGATGTATATCGCCCACAATAACTGGAGGGCCCTCCACATCATGTTTCCAAGGAAATGACAGCCAGCCCACCCTGGCTTGGAGCAGTGTGAATCCACAATAGCAAAGATTAAAGTAGGAGTAGATTCATCTAGTGCACCCATCTCTTTGTTCAGCCATAGGACAGAGTTCTGACCTCAATCAGACCTTATTTCAAGCTGCATAATAGATAGAACTCTCCTATCCCGTATGCTGTAGTCCAGTTTTACTGAAGGTACTTCATTAAGAAACCCAAATGAATACCAACTCCATTATTAACAGACTTGGGTAAAGTAAAAATATGTAATAATAAATATATTTTATTATACATTATTATATTACAATACATTACATTATAACAAAAAAATTTTTAATAATGAAAATAACTGCCTAGTCTAGAAAGTTTTTCTAGAAAGGAATCAACTCAACAGCAACTAGTAAGTTGAAAAACGAAACAACCAAACCCACTGCCATTGACTCAATGCTGACTCTTAGAGACCTCGTATGTACAACAGAAGCAAACACTGCCTAGTCCTGTGCCATCCTCACAATTGTTGTTGTGTTTGAACCCATTGTTGCTGGCACTCTGCCAAACCACCTTGTTGAGGGTCTTCGTCTTCTTTCACTGTCCCTCCACTTTACCAAGCACGACGTCCTTCTCCAGGGACTGGTTCCTCCTGATCACATGTCCAAAGTTTGAGATGAAGCCTCACCATCCTGGTTTCTAAGGGTATTCTAGCTGGGTTTCTTCCAGGACAGATTGTTGATTCTTCTGACTGGCAGTCCATGGTACTTTCAACATTCTCCAACACCACCATTCGAAGGCATTGATTCTTCGGTGGCTTCTCTTAGTCACTGTTCAGCTTTCACATACATGTGAGTGAGGCCTTGTATACAACAGAGCTGGCCCTGAGCTACTCTCATAATCACTGCTGTGTTTCAGCTCACTGTTTCAGCTGTTGATCTGACTCGTGCAGGGTTTCTGGCATTTTTGTTGACCTTCTACTTTACCAATCATAACATACTTTTCTAGCGCTGAGTCTTACCTGATAACTTGTCCAAAGTCAGCGAGTTGACATCTCACCATCCTTGTTTCTAAGGAGGACATGGCTGTTGTGCCATTGAGTCCGTTCTGACTCATAGCAATTCCATATAAGGATTTCCAAGGAGCGGCTGGTGGATTTGAACCACCCACCTTGTGGTTAGCAGTCCAGTGCTTATCCTACAGGACCTCAGGAGGACATTAGTCCCTTTAAATGTCCTTTTCCAAGGCTTAATGCATTTAGTCATTCAGCCAAAGAAAGAAAGGAGAAGGTGTTCAATCTGATTTCTTTGCTTCTGAACCGCATGCCTGGTATTTATTTCTACAACTGCGCACAAGTTACATCAACTTCTATTAGAGGCTCCTTGTGTGCCCCACTTCTTTGGGTTGTTGAAGCCCATACCTCTGACTTTCCTGAGCATATTGTTGTTGTTAGGTGCTGTCAAGCTGGTTCTGACTCCTTGCGAACCTAGGTACAACAGAACGAAACACTGCGTGGTCCTGTGCCATCCTCACAATGGCGTAATAAGCTTGAGCCCATTGCTACTGTCACCGTGTCAATCCATCTCATTAGGGGGCTTCCTTCTTTTCACTGACCCTCCACTTTACCAAGCATGATGTCCTTCCCCAGGGACTGGTCCCTTCTGATAATATGTCTGAAGTATAAGAGATAAAGCCTCACCATCCTGATTTCTAAGGAGCATTCTGGCTGTACTTTGACCAACACAAATTTGTTTGCTTTTCTTGCAGTCCATGGTACTTTTAATATTCTTCTCTAGCACTGTAACTCAAATGCATTAATTATTCTATGGACTTAGTCATTGTCTAACTTTCACACCCATATGAGGCTATTGAAAATACCATGTTATGTGTTAAGTGCTGTTGAGTCGGTTCCCACCCATAGCGACCCTGTACAGGGTTTCCGAGGGTGTAAATCTTTACGGGAGTAGAAAGCCTCATCTTTCTCCTGCGGAGCAGCTGGTAGTTTCGAACCGCTGACCTTAAGGTTCGCAGCCCGATTCATAACCACTACGGTTGTCCTCAAACTGACATCTTTGTCGTGAACACTTTAAAGAGGTCTTGTGCAGCAAATTTTCCTAATGCAATAAGTCACTTGATTTCTTGACTGCTGCTTCCGTGAGTATTGATATTTGATCCAAGCAAAATGAAGTCTTTGACAACTTCAATCTTTTCTCCATTTATCATGATGTTATTTATTGGTCCAGTTGTGAGGAATTTTGTTTTCTTTATATTGAGGATCAACGCCTTCTGAAGACTGTGGTCTTTGATTTTCATCATCAGTATTTTGAGTCCTCTTTGCTTTCAGCAAGCAAGGTTGTGCCATCTGCATATTGCAGGTTGTTAATGAGTCTTCCTCCAATCCCGATGCCACGTTCTTCTTCATATAATTCCAGCATCTTCGACTATTTACTCAGCATAGAGATTGGATAAGTATGGTGAAAGAATACAACCCTAACGTACACCTTTCCTAATTTTAAACCATTCTGTGTTCCTTTGCTTTGTTTGAACAACTGCCTCTTGGTCTATGTACAGATTCCTCATGAGCACAATTAAGTGTTCTGGAATACTCATTCTCTGCAATGTTGTCCATAGCTTGCCATGATCCACACAATCGAAAGTCTTTGAATAGTCAATAAAGCACAGGTAAACATCTTTCTGGTGTTCTCTGCTTTCAGCCAAGATCCATCGGACATCAGCCATGATATTGGTTGTTCAGAATCATCATCTGAATCGGGCCTGAACCTCTGGCAGTCCTGACAATGCACTGTTGCAGTTGTTTTTAAATTATCTTTAACAAAATTTAACTTGTATGCAATATTAATGATATTGTCTGATGATGTCTGCATTCCTGTGGATCACCTCTCTTTGGAATGAGCACACAATCAGTTGGCCAGGTAGCTGCCATCCAAATGTCTTGGCATAGATGAGTGAGTGCCTTCAGTGCTGCGTCAGTGTGCTGAAAGATTCCAGTTTATAGTCCATCAGTTCCCCATGCCTTGTTCTTTGCCAATTCCTTCAATGCCCCTTGGCCTTGTTCTTTCAGTATCATTGGTTCGTGATCATATGCTACCTTTTGAAAAGGTTGAACCTCAACCATTTCTATTTGGTACAGTGCTTTCCTTCTATCTTCCATCGATGCTTTCTGCACCAGTCAATATTTTGCCCATATTGTTATTATTTTATTGTTAAGTGCCAGCAAGTCAGTTCTGACCCATTGTGACCTCGTATAGGGTTTCCACGGAGAGGCTGATGAGCTTGAACCTCCAATGCATTTATGCATAGTGCCACACCAGGACTACAATTTTGCCAATGTATTGTTTTTGTTAAGTGCCATCGAGTTGGTTCTGACCTAAAGCGACCCTGTATAGGGTATCCTAGGAGCAACTAGTGAGCTTGAACCACCAACCTTGAGATTCAAACTGACTTTGCAGTCTAGCACATTAGCCCACAGCGCCACACCAGGACTCCAATTGTTGTTGTTGTTGTTAAGTGCCGTCGAGTCGGTTCCGACCCATAGCGACCCTGTACAGGGTTTCTGAGGGTGTAAATCTTTACGGGAGTAGAAAGCCTCTTCTTTTTCCCGCGGAGCGGCTGGTAGTTTCGAACCGCTGACCTTAAGGTTCGCAGCCCGATTCGTAACCACTACGCTACCAGAGCTCCTTTTAGACTCCAATTAGAATCCCTCAATATTGAAAATAGAGTCTTGAATTTTTTCTTTAGTTCTTTCAGCATCAGAAATGCTGAACATGTTCTTCTCTTTTGGTTTTCTAACTCTAGGTCTTTGCACATTTCATTACAATATTTGACTTTGTCTTCTTGATCTGCCCGTTGGAACTGTCTTTCAGCTCTTTTGCTTCCTCACTTCTTTCATTGGCTTTAGCATCTCTACACTGGAGAGTAAGTTTCAGAGTCTTTTCTGACATCCATTTTGGTCTTTTCCTTCTTTTTTGTCTTCTTAATGACCTTTTGCTTTCTTCTTGATGCCATCCAACAATTCTTCTGGTCTTAGGTCAGTGGTATCTAATTCATCATATTTGTTCCTGAGATGATCTCTAAATTCAGGTGGAACTTGTTCAAGGCCATATTTTGGCTCTCATGGATTTGTTTTAATTTTCTTTCTCTTCTGCCTGAACTTGTATATGAGCCAGTTGTGTTTCATAGTGTGCTCCTGGTCTTGTTTTGGTTGATGAGTATGCAGTTTTTCCAGAAATATAGGCAATTTGATTTCTGTGTATTGTGTCAGGTGAGGTCCACGTGTATCTTTTATGTTGTTTAAAAAAGGTATTTGCAGTGAAGAAATCATTGGTCTTGCAAAATTCTGTCATGCAATCTCTAGCATCATTTCTGTCACCAAGGTCATAGTTT